CAGCCGAGCTACTGGATGAGTGTTTCTGCAAAAGTGGTAACATCGATGGTATAACAGGAAGAGAGATGCGACAAAGACGCGACAGGCTTGAATCGAGGATATACATATAGATACCAGCAATCGCGAGGGAAACCATTAAGGGCTGTTTCTGAGGCTTATCGTAGCCGTGCAGCGAGAACGCCAAAGCAAGGAGAGTTCGACCCATTCAATTGTCGCGATAACGTCGGGATTCGAGTCAAGACGCATCAGACTTCAGCCGGAAACGACCACGTCCAAGAGCTTCCTCTCCCGTTTAGCCTCCCCACGAACACTTGCGTTTCCGACCTTGCACCCTTTTGGTTCATCCTCCACCAGAAGATTATGGCCTTGAAATGTAATATAGATATTGGCCAATGTCACTTACCCAGTTATTCCGGCCGATCAAATATTGCTGACTCGCAATTTGATCGATTATAGATATAATTTCTAATTCATACTTATCCCTGTATAAGATCTTCATAAAATTTCATATAAAGTCTCAATAATTCCTGTTAATTGTCTAATATAAAAGTTCTTAATATAATAAATAAGAATGATTTACCCTCTTAATTCTTTCTTATATCTTTCTTATATCTTTCTTTTCATATGTCAATCTGTTATAAGGGAGTTTCATAACATTAGATCCTCCAGAACTGACGTGGGTTTATTAGACTCAGTTATATCCCCCCAGAGCTGACGGTGGGTTTATTCATAATGTAAGAATATAAGGTATAACATTGCATATAATTAATGGTGACTGAATTAATGGTTTCTGATTGGTAGCAAATTTCTAATGATGGCTTTATATAATTTTTTAAGACTTGAGCCCAATTTCTACTTAGTCACAAAAGTTTGAGCAACTCTATATATCGATAGAATGTTATACCTCTGTTTATACATCTATTTTCTCTACTCAGTTATATTCTTTATGTCACATTTGCAAATTTAAAATATTGTTATTAAAATAAATTATTCATTCTTTTTTGTACAAATTATATTATTTTGGTTCCTATACAAATTAATTAATGCCTTTTAGTCAACATGAGTTAAATGAGTCTCACAGATCCAGCGTTAATAATTATATTACAAATTTTGATGTCAGCTTCAAAAGGTTAAAAGCGCAAGTAACGAGTAAAAGCGAACGAATTATCATCTGCTGAACGTTTGAGCATTGAGCGTGTAATTAAAAACACGAGAAAAACGTAATTTGGCTTTCAAGAGTCGGCGGGAGGGCCGCGGACTCCCGAGAAGACACCCGTATCATCGATTTCCGCTTTGGCCCAATAACCCCACCTCCCACTCACGCCACCGCTGACTTCCGCTCAGAAAGCACGAAGCGTTCCCTTCCGCCCAGCGTAGTTCGTCATGTGTACGTGACAATAGAATCGCGAGGGTTCATGCATAAATGCGACGTAACAATAAACACAGCGGTGCCGGCTAAGGGCACGGGAGATGAAGCGCGGGAGGGAAGTGACCCTTCAAAAGCCGTCATAGCCGGAGGATCAGAAACCGATATGAGATTCGGGCCGTATATGAATGATGTATCGCGCTTCCATGTGCTGTACTATTTCTGTGTTGTTATACGAGAACGCAAATAAGAAACCGCGAAAATGCTCTACTCGAAATGTGCGTTGTACATTGATGTACATTCTCAAACTCGCTGAATATGCAATCACTACAGAAAGAAAAATCTATTGTAAATTGTAGCTTAATTCTAATTTCGAATACAACGTGCACAATATAAAAGTGCTCCACGTAGTTTACGGTTTCAATTTAATTTATTGTGTACGAATAAAATTTATATGAATGTAACATGGAAATGAGAAAGTAAAAACGCAAATAGTAAAGCGACAGCATAGTTACTATTTTATATACCTACATAATGCTTATCAAATGACTTATGCAAAAACTTATCGAAAAAAAGATAGAGTAAAAAAATAAAAAAAAAAAGAAAAGTGACGATAATTTGTCATCTGAATGACTGTAATTAATAAAAAATATAAAGATTACCAATTTTATAAGATAAATAAAATCCTGTAATTTGCAATTAATCAGTACACATAAATCTTATCATATATATCGTATGTCTGTGTGTGGATTTTGCACTATCTTTCAACCAGCTTATATAAATCCAAGAGGGTAAAATGTTAAAGACGATATGCGACAGATGGTTTCGAAGAAAGTGTAGTAATAGTTTATGAGGCGAGTTGTTTCATCGCGCGTGTAATCAGGGTAATGCTTATACGAGAATTTGCCTCTTTCGTTCCTTCATTTTTTATTTCGTCCTTTCATTTTCTTTTGGGGTCAAAGATATTTCGACTTACGTCTCAAAAAAAGAAATGTGTATATTATTTTTTCATATCTTGCTTTTTGCATAAGATATTAAGACTTTTGCTGAATGATGACTCAAACTATACGGCAAAAAATAGAGGATTATGGCATTTGATAAAATATATTTTTGTATAATATAAACATGAGTTGTAATTTAATTAAACGCATTTGATAAAAAATGTTTAGCCTTAATTTTTATTAAAAATTTATTTTCAAATTGAGATAATATATTTATCGTTAAATTATAAAAATAAAGTTTCATGTATGTGCGTACATATTTTTAAATATTCAATAAAGAGGAGAAAGTATATAAAATGTGATTAAAAAAGTATTTTGTCAATAACTGAACATCATCAAAAGATGTCAAAAAATTTAATTAACACGATCTAACAAGTAAAAAACTAGTGAATGTGCTTTTAAAACATTCTTGAACTAAATTAAAAGTCGTGTGTCGGTTCGCTACTCTGATTATTTCAATAGCAATCGAGATCAAACGAAGTGTAACGCACTACATATTTTTGAATGGAGACCTATGCATACTTCCATTCTCTTTATCGAGGTCGCTACAAGAGAGGCGAGGTACCTCGTTTACAGAGTAAGTACGGCCCGTCTGCCGGATTAGATACTCGTAAACTCTTACAGGTGACAGGAAGATGAGGGACTCGGGACGCGAGGGGTGGAAAGGGGTGGCACTCAGGTCTGTGAAGGAGATGCGAAAGGGAGGAGGCGGAGGGGTTGACGGCACGCGGGGACCGAGGTTGCCTCGAGTGGCGAAACGGCTGAAAGTTCCTTTCATGTAAAGTAATTAACTACCGGCAACCGTTGACAAACACCTTACCCTCGTTCGCGGGCCTTCTGGCCTCGAGTGTTCTGGCGTCGTTTTCCTAGCATGAATCCACCGCCATCCCCTTTCAAGAGAGAAAATTTTTGTATTTTTCATCAGCCCTCCGACCTTTCGTTTTCCTCGCTGCTCTGGTCGCTAACTTGTCTGGCTTTATAGCCTGCGTTCCTTTTCATTCTTGAGGCTTCTCCTTCTACATTAAGCTTCTATCATCTTTGATCCTCTTCGGCTTTTGCGCAAACCACTGGCCGAGGAAAATCGACCTCACCTTTTTATTTTATGAGGCCCTTTTATTATCATATATTCTCAACAAGAAACTCGTACCTCAAAGCGTTATAAAAATTGTATGCACGTGCAATTTTTCATCATAACGTACACAGAGATTAGTCCCTTGCATATTTAAATACTAGCCAAAACAAGAGGAAGGGGAACCGTAATTTGAAATGCAAATACTTAAATTAATAAAGGTTTTAGCAAGATATATATCCAACGCTTTTATATAAAATAACATAGCTATATATCGTATTTTTCAAATGTAAAAACAGGTATATACCGAGGTATTTGAGTACCTTTAAAACGATTATTATTCGGAACTTAGCTAGACTATAAGTCTACTTATAATCTTAGTAGTTTTATCCATTTTCACCTAGAGAATTTACCTTCAGCTACAAACTTTCACATCTCCCAAGATATTCAGACTTTTCTGATCGTCTATTCTCAAGAGATACGAGGCCGTATTTTTAATCAGTATACGATGAGCGCCTCCATTTGCCCTTCCCTTTCTTAACTTTATTGTTCAGTTACCTTGTCTTCCACCACGCTGTTGTCTACTCCTTTCCGGTCTTCTACTACTTCGTCATCGGTGTCCCATCGGGCCAATAAGCGTCGAAGTTTCTACGTTAAGTGGATAACGGGCTTGACAAATAATTATGAACTTCGTACAACGTCGCCAACGTCATTTCAATTAGTTAGAGATTTACAAATTACATAAAGAAATTGATAAATTAATAAAAATACGTATCAAATATAATTATTTAATAATATAATAAAAGTTATAAGAAATATACAAAAGAATTTAATATTATTGATTACAAAATTTGTGTGATAGTAGCCATTCTCTCTTAAGTTTAAAGTAACTATTCAGTTTGAGATAACTATTACTGCAGCTGTAGGTACTCCTATATACATCTATACATATATAATTCAACTTAAAAAAAAAAAAGTAATCATTCCAAATGCATAATCAGTATTATAATGTACTTTTTCATTCAGAATAAATAAAATAAAATGTTAACACTATAAATAATATACATTACAAGAAATTCAATCCAATTATATCATTTATAATACATTTGTATGTTTCCTAATAAATTGTATTATCGTACAAGAAGAGTAACTAATTTTGCTGAATCATGATAGTCATTATTATTTCTTTTTTAAAACCTTGATCCATGTCGCTCCGAAGTCCACAATATTAGAATCTCAGACGCAGAAAGAATTAATAAATCACATTTGAATAATTCGGCCAATTAATGCGAATCAATTCTTTCTCCGTCCGAGAATGAATTTAATCGGAGTGATTTCTAAAAATCGTGGATACCTAATCATTATAAAGATGTATATTGCCAGTTATAATGCATATAAATACTTATAAAAACTAACATTGCCTCTAGGTATAGAAAAAATGTATTGATAGAAACTAATAACATAATTTACATACAATTAAACTTCAGTCGTTGTATTATTTTCATCAGAAAACACAATCATAGAAAATCTATAAAAAAATTAGAAACATAGAAAGGAATATTAATCAACAATGCTGTAATAAGTTTTTATGCACTTTTTGTTTAAGCTAATAATAGATTTAGGTGAAAAAAGTATAAAAAAAGAAATAGAACAAATTTCTTCAAGATAACCAGCACGATATCTCAGAAGATATATCCTGTTAAAGTAAATTATGTTAGATTAATAAAGTCTAATAACAAATTCGTTAATTAATAATTCCTCGTAAATTAGAATATCTGTGAACGTTTCCCAAATAACGGCCAACTTTAACGATGATCTATCTTTGCCCCCAGCTTTTTTCCATGACAAAGCGAACTATCAAGGACAGGGCCATGAGGAAAATGATGACCGCTGCTGCCACGAGAATAACGCCACATGCTGAAAATGAATTATCTTAGATTTGTAGATATATTCATAATAACTTTTAATATAATAACCGATATTATAAGATCTACTTGATTAAAAATAATCTTAAATTTGATCTGGTCTGTTATTGACTGATACTCATCAGTATCACTGATATCTCATACCAGCCAATTTACTCGTATCGTAATAGACTATTTAGACGAAATAACGATTAATCAGTTTTTTCAATAATGATTTTTATAAACCGCTTATTGGTAATGTTTACTTTTAATATCGAGGAAATCCTGTTTTAAAATATTTAATCTTTTAAAATACTCCTATAATTTGTAAATTAAGAAAATGCACGGAATAAAGATCATAAATTTCAGTCACCGATGCTCACTTCGTGGTTTTTTATCGTAGAATTTATCCGTTATTTCGTCGTCCGCTGCAATGTCCACCGTTTCCCTCCACAAAGAATTCCTATAGTAACCGAACTTGAGGAACTGGTAAGGCGTCGTTAAGGACATCGGATACGACTCGTATCGATCATTAATCCCTTCAGGATGGAAATCCGTGACCGGTGTCAGACGAGTTTGGAAAGGCGTTAACGGTATTTCCATCCTATGAGTCCCGTCCGTAAAATGCGAATTGTTGAATGGAAAAAGTCCGTACGGCCAACCGATATGATTTGATGGCGTGATTGCGGCATAAGGTGGCGGATCATCATTACTTTCGTTCCCATTTGCGGTAATCAAGGATGATGTTACCACCGTTATCGAACCGCTCGAACTTTCGCCTATATGTGTGTTAAGATTTAATATCGCGGATTTGTCCTGAAGCGATGGTCTTGATGACGAAACGTCTTGAATACATAACTCGTTCATGGACAACCGCTCGTCTGGTTGAACTCTCACACATGTGTCAGGTGAATTGTCGCATGCCTCGACGGATAATAACTGCTCGCTCTCCGGGTTTGTCGAGAAATCTGTAATCGAAATCACACACTCCTCTGTGATGGATACATGTATTTAATTTATCTATCAAAAACATTTGTTAAAACAAAACAAAATATAATCAGTCTAAATTCATATGAAACTTGCATTGTAATAAAAATATTATAAGTTTATTTTTTAAATTGGTCATTATCTCTCTTCTTTTATTCTAATATAAAACTATAAAAAAATATAGCTAAAGTAATCTTTAATTTATAAAATTTTTTTAATTACTTTAAAATTACGTAACAAGTTTTAATTAAGTTGATTATAATATTGACCGCAGGTGTTAATTATTTATATTGCTTTTGTTATATTAATTACTTTTATTCATTAACACTACTTATATAAATAATATACATGTAACAAAAATATGTTTTCCAATTCAATTAACAATATTATTAATTCTATATTTTTGTAATGAGAAATTATTAAATTATTATTTATTAATACAAACTTACATTTAATATTACATATTAAATAAACCACATTATTTTTTATCGCTAAAAAATAAAAACTACGATTATATTATCCTGTAAAGTGTAAAATATTGTAGAGTTAGGTTAGAATAATCTAATTAGAATAATCTTTTATAATTGCGTGAGCAATAATATATAAATAATCATGTTAAGTATAAAATTGATATAATAAAAAATTGCTAAAATACAATTTCAAAGTATACTTCTAGCAAGTATATTTCAACACTGAAAATAAACCTGATTGATCTATACTAATAAGTTGTCATTGGCATCGCTTCAATTAGAAATCTGATTGACGTATACTAATAAGTTGATATAGTTGCAAAATAGAAATTATTTGAGAATATATTTTTCTAAATTGGAGAACTGTTTTAAAACTATTTTTATATATATAATCAATGTAATCCATTATAAATCACACACAACAAAAATGGGAAATACTAGCTGTTTGAAAAATAATCGTAATTGGGCATTGTATTTCGAAGAATTTTAATGTAAATCTTTCTCATTCATTAATAAAACTACAATAAAGTATAAAATAAGTTTGATTAATTTTACTGAATTGCATGGTAAAAATCTTTAAAATATTGTATTGTACCACAATTATCATATTTTTAGGGTAAAATAAAAAAAAATTCTTTCTGTGTATAAATCAGAATTCTGGTTATTGTAATTGAATTTTTAGTTATCTTGATTAGAACATTTAATAAATTTAATTATAAGTATTTGATTTATATATCTTTTTTTTTTTGGTTGAATTATAATATACTAGAATAAATATAATAAATCTTTTTTTCCAATACATAAATAATCTCTATGTGATTTTATGTAAACAACAAAATGTCATAATGCAGTTTTATAATATGTTTTCATTTTTTTTTCAACGTACGACTTCCTTATTATTTCAAGCGGATGTGAATTTATAATTCAACTCGTGAATTTATTATGCAAATACAGTATTCAATATGAATAATTGTGCATCCCCGTTGCATAGATACTTATGGTGCATACTCAATTAGTAAATACCTTGAAATTGCTTTCATCCATTAATTAACCAATTTGACGAATATAAAAACCTTGTTTCTTTTTGATATTCAAATATTCTCTTAAAAATTATGGAAATATGCGAAAAATAAACAAAAATTAATTTACCTATAATTTACACGAACACGAGAAGCTTTTTGGCAGTTATTTCACAGTAATTATGATAATGAAGTATGCTTTACATGCATGACATAAGACTGAATGACGCGTTTTAAAGCATAATTTTACAATAATATTTTATGATGGCTAGTGATACGCGAGAGCACGTTCTCGAGACGCGGCAATTATATATTCAAATACTAATACCACTTAATTAGCCGACAAATTTTCCGCTCGTATATGTACCGTTTATTTCATCGTTAAGTCCTTGAGAACCCATAATATGTTACCATCACATTCTTAAAGCATAATAGCCGAACACTTTCTATTGTCGTAAATATCAACGTGAGTTCCTGTGTCTCTCGTTAAGTTAAACATATATATGCCTGTTTAAAAGAAGAGTTTCACTCAAAGCATCGAACGCTTTCCATTTTGTACGGCCCATATTGCAATCTATCTATAGCTGAATAATGTCATCTTAAATGTTGTAATTATATTTTTAAATACCTTATACTTGACTTCTACTTATTCACATAATATATTCACATAAAATCATATGTTTTGACATGCTAAGCAGAATACAAGTTATCATAACATTAAAGTGGCGTCAAAAGTGAGTACCATAAAAATCACTTTTCAATCAATAAAGACTCATTTTAACATAATTTTGATATTATATGGTTACTTATTCTATTTTTAGGATATATTCTTTAGCAACACGTTACATCACGAATGCCACAAAATTCTTATGAAACATTTGCAATGTCGAAACATTTTAAATTCAATAAAAAACGACTGATTCTTGTATCGAAGTTCACACACATACACATAAAAACTAGGAAATAAAACTGTTATAGCACAATAAACTTCCACGTTAAACTTATCAGATGCATAATATAATGTGCATAACTTTCACACTATTTCACGTTTTATCTAACAGCATTCCTCAGGAGTCATCTCAAATAATAATTTTAATTTCAATAAAATCGATAAGTACAGATTACGAAATCCGTGCGGCACAGGCAAATCGCGAAGCCAATTTACTTTTTTTAGGTCAAGTGTGGTGTCGGTATCAAATATTTGATGGAACGAAAACTCGCAAAAATTTACCGTACCTTTTTCGACTTCTTTCGACATTTCTCATGCTACGTACACGTCTCGAATAATGACTGAGCGACAAGAACGTCGCGAGTATCCGTGATTCGACTGGCGAACGCAATAATGCACCTGACTAAATGTACACAAGCAAGCACGCGTGTAACCGCCCACACACGCACGTATAAGCACACGTGCACGCACGTGTAGCCGATTGCAATCCGGTGATAAGAGGTGCGTCGTGAGAATGATGCCCAATACAACTGAACGAACAGCGCGCGCAACGCAGTGAAACTGCGATCGCTAACGCGTCCAATCGGCGAGCAATACGAACACGACGAAGGGGTGGACACGTGATCAGCTGTACCGATTTCGCAACACCAGGGAGGGATCTCCTCTGTTAACCGCAGTCATCCACGGTCACGGGTACATTGGTTCCTGAATAAAAAAACGGTAGAGGAAACGCGCGTTATTGTTGATAAAATAAGAAAAATCCTTTTTCTCTGTTTGTCAAACAATTCCTTATTAATAGTTAATCCTGCTGGCCTGTTCAAATTGACTATACAATCATACCTTCTAAAATTTTTTTAATGAATTCTCACTCCGTATAGAGTAAAATGTCATTCCTAAAAACTAAAAATTAAACCACTCCTTTTCTCAATTTTCATTCTTTAGAGTGTGATTCAACTCCAAAGAATTTAGAAAGTATCGTTTGTCAATACAATTAAAAAGGTTTAAAAATCAGAAAATAAAAAATTTTCACAGAAAAAATCTTACATTAATAGACAAAATTATTATAAATACTAAAGAAAAAAGTTTTTAAATAAACTATTAGTTATACGAAAATTAATTATGTTTTGGTCAAAGAAACAAGCAAGATTAAGCATTGTTAAATAGCTAGAACAAGTATAGATCGCACGTCAAAATTCAACAAATTCTTTGAACATTCAACAAGTGTAGATCATATATGCTATAAACCTGCTACTGTTTTTGTCAATTAAATAACAATTTTAGCATACATTAAATTTATTTTAAAAATTGATGCATTGCAAAATGAGCTTAGCAGATTAATGACATGCTAACGAGCAACATTAAATATAATCTTGCTCAATTAGCATAATCGTGCAAAAAATCGGTTAAGGTCAACGCCTGGTTTAACGGGCGACCTCGATACGCGCGAACAAGAGTTTCAATTATCTGAATAGAGTCGTATATGTGGTTTCAAGCGAGTAGACATCGTAAACTTCGTGTCGTTATAAAGCTTTTCGTGCGGAAAATTATATATCGATTAAGTTATCGAAGTGCAATCGGAAGCAATTGCATTCTAAAATGTGTTATATGTCATATGTAAGACGAAAAAATACAGAAAAGAATAGCGTAAAACGGACATGGAAAACTTTACTTCTTAAGCGTTTGAAGTCAATATTCAAATTCATAGTCTTATATTTAAGACCGTCATAAGTACAATCTGTTAAGGTATTTTATAAACCAACACCTCACAGAGTCGTGTTAGAAGCATCTTAAGTCATTGCTTAAACATGTTAAAATAAGAAACAAGTATAAATATTGGTCATACAAATTCATTATTAATCATTACTGTATATGATGAATCAGCGACAAACATTTCCAAAGGCATGAAAGAACTGATTACATAATGATCTTGAAATCGCTGACAATTACATAAAATGTAAATGATAATGATCAGCGATGGTGATAACCATAGACCGCAAACTTGTTTTTTGAATTTATGAATATTAAAACATATATTTATTGAAAACGATTCTTTTTTAATTTTATCTTTAATCTATAACGTGATGTGTATACATTATTTAAAGTACTGTTTAATGCATAATATATTCATACTCTCTTTTACATTCTTAAAGGAATATTTCAGTCAATTTATGACATTTTTTATATAATAGAAGATTTATATAATAGATGTAAAATATAATATCCATATTGATACTATATCTTTACTGTTAAATTCATAATGTCAAATTATACTCAATTTGAGTCATTTTCATCATTTCAATAGGTCGCCAATGCTGCTACTCAATATATCGTTAATTTAACTGAAGCAATGTAGTTAAATAATTTAACTAAAAAATAAATATATTAATATGAATATAATTATTTCTTTTGAAACTATAATCACAGAAATGGATTGATCTATATTTAATATTAAAAATATACACACATGAAATTAAAAATAAGATGTTATTTAACTCAAAGAGTTAATATTATTGCTCTTTTGATATTTAACAGTGTTATGCAATCAATTATATACATATACATACTCGTATAATTATGAGGAACAATATATTCTAAAAATATCTAATTGGCAATTTTCAATTAAATTTTTCAAAAAAAGTAGGAAATAATAGTACACGTTTTGAATTTTTCGTATAATACCAGTAAAATTTAATCTCGCAATGACGATTGCAATGATATTTTATAAAAACTTATTTTTTGCTGTTTTTCAAACGACTTGCATTGCGCGGATGGTACACTTCACACGGATACGCGTTATATTTGCGATTATGTGTCTCACATGTCCTCCATGGACGAGACGATTCCTCCGGAACGACGCTCGTTCCCTGGCCGGTCCTTTTACGGTCGTCGGAATAACTCCGTCGTGATTTCTCGCGGATTCGGGAAAACGCGGCCGAGCGCCGACGATTTCCTCAAGCCAGGTGTCATTCTCGTATGTTTTATTTCCGGAGACAACCGACAGTCGTAAACCGACTACGCAATGAGACGTCATACTTTCACGATACGCTACGCGAACCGCAACAATAAACGGTCAGTCGGATTTTTCACGGATAATTGGATGTGACATTCTGTCACTTAAATTAATTGAAGAAAAATTATACTTCAATCATTTTATTCCTAGTAAATACTTTATAATTAAAACAAGAGTTTCGCCCAAAAATCAGGTCATAATAATAGAAATATTATGTATATAGTTATAATTTAAGAAATATTATAATGTAATACGAATAACAAAGAGAAGTTAAATATTTAAACAGATAACGCTTTTTTCGAATAAAATAAGTTCATAACTAATAATAATAATTGTAGTAGCACATGTATCTTTTAAAAATAACTCGCAATGTGTTATCGAATAGCCTAGCAGTTTGTTATATAGTACAAGTCAACCTATATATCTTTCGTATGAACACGTTCATACGAGATTCCATTAAATTTATAATTATAAAAGTATGAGTTTTTAATCTCTTAAGATAGCTTTCAAGACGATTTCTCTCGGCTTTACTGCAACTGCGTTGATGATGCGGCATAACGGGGAAAAGGGAAGACGCACTTTCCACGAACGTTGGTCGTAAAGATGGGTTACTACCGGGATGTGCACTACAGACGACAGCTTCGTCTACGTGAAACTCCTCTCATAGCACATTCGCGTGTTCTGTCTTCTTTTCGTATACGCCAGATGTATAACTACTCATAGCGTATACATCTGCTGCGTGTCCTATAAGCACACAGGACGTGCCTGTAAAGTTTGACGTCCGATGTTCGTGTGTGCGTGCACGATGGATGTTATATTTAGGAAATATAAACCGGAAATGATGACATCGCGAACAGACCACAGAAAACAGTGATAAACTAAGCGATCAAAAATATGATTACAAGTTAATTTTTTATTCTAGATTTGTTATAATACATGACTGCAAATAAAAAATGCACGGAGAGAATTTTTTCTTAGAATTTACCCTGAAAATATGGCAGTCGTGGAACAACATTGTATTTCGAAGAATTTTAATATAAATCTCTCTCATTCATTAACAAAACTACAATAAAGTATAAAATAAGTTTGATCAATTTTACTAAAGTGCATGGTAAAAATCTTTAAAATATTGTATTGTACCACAATCACCATATTTTCAGGGTAAATTTTAAAAGAAAATTCTCTCCGTGTGTAATTGATAAAATCTTATGCAAAACAAGTCTTATATAAATTTATATTTATTATCAAAGATCAGCAAAAAGATAAGCAAAAAAGATATCTAATGTGTAAGTCTCTAATAAATAATTAGAACAATATTAAAATTAAATAGATATTAATATGGTTAAATGTAGGGGAGAGTGGTGTCGGTTGAAACAGAGGGTCAATTGTAACATTGACCGCAATAGCTGTATCTATTGACGAAAGGCTGAACTGCATGCACGGTTGCATACCGTTAACAGACATAAGTCATTGACGAAAAATTGAGTGGCCATTCGTAAGTGCAAACGTAGCAGCACCTATTTTTGTTAAATCAAGGTTAGATTGTAAACTTTGTTACCCGCCATTATTTAGTGCAACTCGTTCCACAACAATTTGTAATACGACGATACTGTGTGATATGAATATCACACTTATATGAATATCAAGCTTTGCAGTAAGGTATATATCAATTCAATTTATTGTTTACATGTAAGTTTAATGGATATAAAATCGAAACAAGCGGCGGTGATACAATTGACACCACCGCGGTGTCAATTGTAACAAGTTGCGGCGATGCCATTAATGATAAATATCATTTATAATTTGTTACTTTTTTAAATATCTATTAAGTTGAAATTAATGCCAAAGGATATATTTGTTTTCATAAAAAATTTCAATTTTTTCTTATTTATAATAAATTGGTTAGCTGCAAAAATATTTTTTTTGTTTCAACCGACACCACTCTCCCCTACGTATTGTAAAAGTGTAAGACAAATCAGTACATTTTCTCGCGGAAAACATTGTAGATTACAAATGGGTCGCAATTTCAGATTTGTAGTAAAGTCTTTCATTATCGATTTCCATTCTTTGGCTAACAACTTCACTAGTTATACGAGTGAGCGCTAAAACTGTCGCACAACAAACGAACAAACGGCTGTTTAGCCACAAAGGGCGAGAACGGAAGCTTACGCTCGCACACTTTATAGCAATTTTGCGAAGTTGCGGCCCAAGTACACAAGTTCGACGTTCCGGGCTGTACCCGGGTAGATTAGATTTGGCTTAAGAGTGGATGAACTGTCCTACGATAAAAGCAGGTAATTCCGCGACGTTCGCTAACTTCGACACGACTTGGGCGCCCGGAAAATAATCAGCCGCGGGGTTGAGTCGGTATTTGTGCTGACGGGCCACGACATAGACAAACCTCCTTGTTCCAGAGAGCTGTTACCTACGGTAGCCCTGACAAGAAGGGACCGTCTTTGTGCACTGTGAAAATCGTAAGATCGTCGCACGGCTGCCACCCGGTATTGCGCTTCACGGCGACATCA